CCCAGCGGCCAGCCTACCTCAGTCAACCTAGGGTGGCTGTCTTCCGGCTCCCTGAGCAGTGCGTTTACCCTTTGTGACTTACACGGATCGGTTGCCTTAGTTGGGTTCTCTGCAAAAACGTGTAAACCTGCCTTGGAAACTGACAGCGCTCATTGCCTTCTTTCGCTGCCACAGTTGTGAGGGAAACAGAAGTAATAAAATTAAACTCCTATGCCCCTGAAGTCAGAAGTATCAGTGTGATTTAAAAACTGGGAAGGAATCCCAAACCTCATTTCCCTCCCTATAAAAATCAATTTTGGAAGCTCTTCAAAATGAAGTGAGAATGAAGCATGGCAATATATACCGTAACACCTGGAACGACCAATTTATCGTTACCCATCTCATTTAACGTGAGAAGCGGGAGTTAAAAATGAGGCCTGGACTTCCCTGGTGGCGCAGTGGTTGAGAGTCCGCCTGCCGGTGCGGGGGACACGGGTTCGTGCCCCGGTCCGGGAGGATCCCACACGCCGCGGAGCGGCTGGGCCCGTGAGCCATGGCCGCTGAGCCTGCGCGTCCGGAGCCTGTGCTCCGCAACGGGAGGGGCCACAACAGTGAGAGGTTCGCGTACCGCAAAAAAAAAAAAAAAAAAAAATGCGGCCTGTCACTGAACGTGCCTCTCCGAACACCTTCACGGACTCGTGTTGGGAGGGAGATGCCCGACCCCTGTCCTGTAGGCAACTTTCTTCCCTTGAGCACAAGCTGAAAGCGTGGTTCATCCCCCGCTACCCGCCCCCTTCAGTGTCTTCTTCCACATCCCCTGGGTCTTCTCAAGCTCTCACCACCCCAAGTCTGAATGCCGTGCCAAGAATCTTGGCAATTGTGTAAACTGATACAAAAGGCAGAACAGGCTCTCCTGTCACTTAGAAGGTTCTGACTCATACAAGACAGGAAATGCGCAGGGTCTAGAAGAGCAGGGAGATGCAAGCCACTCCCTCTGCACTAGTGATAAACCTTCCCCATCTGCTTTATTTTCCCGCAGGCCAGGGGTCAGCAGCCACTCCAGCCTTGAGAGCCATCAGCAGCAGGGGCTGGAAGGGGGTGGTGCTTAGCAGTGACAGAGGTGCCACCAGCAAGCTTATGACAGAGGCAGAGATGGAGCAGAAAGCTGAGAAAAGACAAGGGTAGCAGGAGGAGGGAAAGAAGGAAGGAGAAGGTAGCAAAGGACAGAAAAGCATTAGCCTCACCCCCGTTCTCTCTCCCTGGCTCCCCTGTTCCCACCCATTTAGAACTACTTTAAAAACAGTATAAAGCTTTAGGCAAGCTGAAGTATTTCTGGTATTAATATCCATCTCATTAGTACTCACATTAAATTAATTAATAGTGGTAGACCACTTAGAAGAGTGCCCAGAACATACTAAACAGTCAATAAATGTGAGCTATTTTATCATTGCTACAAACCACTGATTAACTGATTGAGAAATTTTAAAAATGCAATCAAGAAGATGTGTTTATTATTTGGCCAGCTAATAGTTGGTTTAATATATTCCTTTAAATTGATTGGATCTTTGGGCATCATGTAGGCATAACTTCCGTCTCTCTACTAGGCCCCATATCTGGTTAAAAATTTAAAAATAAACCAGGTGTACAGTTCTCTACTTTGCCATCTCCTTCACTTGCTCATTTTAGACTGTAGATGCACTTGCTCTTCAGGGGAGAAACTTAGATGCAAAAGTCAAGCAGTGCGTGCAATAGCAGCTGAGGTATCAGATAGAGGTGCTGGGTCTACTTCTGGCTCACAGCCACGGTCCACACTGGAAGAGCAACAATGATAAGACCAGTGGCTTTTTTTTTTTCTTTTTTTTTTTCTTGCGTTATGCGGGCCTCTCACTGTTGTGGCCTCTCCCATTTGCGGAGCACAGGCTCCGGACGCGCAGGCTCAGTGGCCATGGCTCACGGGCCCAGCCGCTCCGCGGCATGTGGGATCTTCCCGAAACGGGGCACGAACCCGCGTCTCCTGCATCGGCAGGCGGACTCTCAAGCACTGCGCCACCAGGGAAGCCCACCAGTGGCTTTTTAAAAAAATTTTTTTTTTACAAATTTATTTATTTATTTTTGGCTGTGTTGGGTCTTCGTTGCTACACACAGGCATTTTTTAGCCACAACTACTGAGCCCGTGAGCCACAACTACAGAGGTCCGCGCGCCTACGGCCCCTGCTCCGCAACAACAGAAACCACCGCTATGAGAAGCCCGCACACTGCAACGAAGAGTAGCCCCTGCTCACCACAATTGGACCAGAGGCTTTTTAAGCATCTCACTTAAGCACTGACCTCCATGCACAAAGGCACAGAAAAGAAGGATCATCTTATCTGAAGATTTTATTAGTAAGTGCCCCAAACTGAGAGGCTAAATTAAAAACTATTTCATGATATTAGGATCATATGTGGTGGTAGGGGTGTGTATGTGCTTATGTGTGGGTAAGTGGAGGGGGCAGGGCAGAATCCAGCTCCTGCTTTGTTCTTAGCACATTTCCGGAAAGAGCCTAGTTTTTACCGAAGGAGGAATAAGGCCCAGAATAGTCCAATAACTTGTCTGAAGTCACATGAGAAGTGACAAAATTGCTCCCTGGGCCCCATACTCTTTGCACTGAAGCAGTCTTAAAATAGACACTGCAGATAAAGGAGAGGTGGCCTGGCTGGAAGTGGATATGATTCACAAAGAGAGGAATATCAGATGCTAATCATATTAAAGGAGGATTTAGATGATGCTAAATGGAGCAGCTTGTTGGGTATCTCTTGATTCCAGCCATCCCGTTTGTGTCATTTGGCCCTTGTGCTGAGTAGGGGATTAAAACCAACCAGGTAAGGTTTAAACGACCCTAAAAAATCCTAATGGGCGCTGTCAGGATTTGTTCTCTTAAGTATGTTACTCAGCAAAAATGCACAAACCATCCCGTGGATCTTGGGCAATTCTTTTATGAAGCTTGACGCATGCTGCCAAACGAATATTTATCGTAATAAACTGTAATTAGTTCATTAGCACACCGTTGAATTCTCTTAGCTCAAAGTTGACAGCAAAAGACTCATCAGAAAGGGGGTGGGGAGCAGTGAAGCTTTTAATAAGATTTCTTTAAAATGTTTAGCCATCGTCATCATGCAGGGGAAACGGGTTTGATCCATGGTCAGGGAACTAAGATCCTGCATGCCACAAAGTGTGGCCAAAAAAAAAAAAAAAAAAAGTTTAGCCATTGTCACATTCTTCAGCTTTAGAAGAAATCTGCTAGAGTGTTCTGTCGAAACGGTAAACCAGTGCTCTGTTCCAACAGAGACCTTAAAATACTGAAGCAGTAAGTACAAGAAGGATCCTCACTTTTAATGTGTTTGGCCAAAGAAGAACTTTGCTTATCACCCATTTGGCAAGAAAAATACATTGGTATTGGATAGCAAAGAGAAATTGGTGGTTTGCAGTATAAACACTCCAACTTTCAAGGAAAATCCATGACTTTCCCGCTGCTAAACTTCCCCATTCAGTTCTTCATAAGCCACAAAACTGATCTGCTAAGACCACTGGGAGAAGGGTCCCCAGAGGAATGGGCAAGCAGCAGGGGACAGTGGGGGTCAGGTCGGTATTGACAAGGCCAGACCAAGGTGTCCCTTTCTCCTTTTTTTTTTTTTTGCGGTACGTGGGCGTCTCACTGTTGTGGCCTCTCCCGTTGCGGAGCACAGGCTCCGGACGCGCAGGCTCAGCGGCCATGGCTCACGGGCCCAGCCGCTCCGCGGCACGTGGGATCTTCCCGGAACGGGGCACCAACCCGCGTCCCCTGCATCGGCAGGCGGACTCTCAACCACTGCGCCACCAGGGAAGCCCGCCCCTTTCTCCTTTGACACTGAGAACTCTGTGGGCATTTGGGGGCACCTATTTGCGTAAGGAAAGCAAGAATATTAACATAAGTTCCGCGCACGGGCAGATGTGGGGGAAAAATTCCCCTCCACAAGGTACTACAAGAGAAGGACCACCTTTGTCAAGCCACAGCCTGTCCATTCTCATCATCAGAGGTTCAGCCTGCAGAATCCTTCCCACATTCCCACTTCCAGCCATCATTGCCCCAGTCAGCAGGGCTCAGCAAAATGCTTTTGTGGGTACTGGGAGATTCGCTAGTGTTGTCTCATGGAAAGTCATCACGTTCAATGAAAAGTGCTTGCTGAGGCACCACGTCAGCCAGTAAAGAAATGCCTTGCTCATAGCCACACATCTCTTATTGTTGCATAGATATGGCTTTCTGGGAATCATCTCTACTGCTTCATGTGTGCCTGGAATACGCAGGTTGCAGACACATCCAAGTATGTATAAGACCACATGAATGAAGAGCAGCAAACTCGTGAAGCTGCACGTATGCAAAATGAACACACAAGGTTGTCCTCCCAAAAGAACAAAACCAGAAACAAACAAACGAACAAAGATGTCCATGGGTCTCTCATAATAGGTACTTGGTAAATTCTCACACCATGTCTTCCAGAAAAGAAATGAATGCTGATGAAAGTCTGAAACCATGGAATCACTTCCCCGTCAATCTTTCTAGACTTTTTAAGAAAACAACTTTTGAAGCTACCACTGAACACAGCGTATGTCAACTCAATCCACATGCCAGAACCTAAATGTGAAAAAGGCCTATTGGGGCAGGGACCTCTTCTCTGGAAAGGGAATCACTCTGTGTGTGTTCCTTGCTGCCGTTTCTTTGGATTCGCCAGTTCCCTCTTGTGTGGCCACATGGGTCTTCCAAGCAAGCAGCAGAGGCGGGGGATGGGAAAGGAAACAGAAGTGGGTCAGCTCCCAGGACTCTGACGGGACCCACGGGGGGCTCTTCATTGCCACTCGACCTCTTACCCTACTGGGGGATGCTTGTGTGAGATACCAGAGGGAAAAAAAACAAAAAACAAAAAAACAGATTTGGGGCATTTCTAAAGAAAATATATTTTTTTTTTTAAAAAAGGGAGATGACCGAAAAACAAAGATGAGTTCCTAC